AGTCTACATTTAAAATTTGGAAGCTCTAGCTCTAAAGGTGTAGAAGATATAATTATATAACCAGCTTTCGATAAGGTTTTTGATCGATAATAAAATATCGGGAGCAGTTATAGATTTTTCCCATTTTCAATGGGTTCAGGTTATAAAAAGTCAGCGGTAACTGCCCGATAGAGCATTGCTTACTGCATATTCTCTGCGCTCACAGTTTGTGTTACTCTTTTTCAAGCAGCGACTACCCTGCTTTAGTTTGACCAACATACATTCCACCACCAAGGGAGACCAGGATGAGAATGTGCTTAACCACTCGTACAAGCGCTATCACCAGTCGAACACGGCAACAACGACAGCTGCCGGCCAGGAGACGATACCAGTGTCGGTGCGGGAGTCGCAATATCGAGTTGGTCAGCAGCAGCAGGTGCGACCGGTGTTACAGCGGTCGAGCAATGCGCGATTGCACCAGGTGCATGATGCGAGACGTGGACCCAGCCAGACGCAGACACTGCCCGCAGGCTATGCGTGCCTCAAGCATCCGAGCGCCAACGGGGGCGGCTCCAATATAAATCTTTATCTACACAACGATCTGGATCGGCGGTAAGTAGAGGCCAATGGCCAATGGCTTACACGAAATTCTAATTAGCAGTGGGTGACTCCCTGCAGCTTCTACTTTGAGAAGCCGGCGGTCTCCAAGTGCAATTTGCACTCTCGCAGCTTTGCCAAGTCATTGAACGAGCTGTGCCTAGAGCCAACACCAGCAACGGCCCCAGCCCCACAACCACCACCGCCTACCGCTACGTTTGCCGATTTGCCACAGGAGTTTCCGCTAACGCGCTCGGTGTCGACCACCACAGATATCTACACAGCGCCAACGGCGGTCCAACTGAAGCGCAAGCAGCTGCGCAACATGGCCACCAATACTCGCACAGAACAGCGCGACGACGGAGAGGAGCAAACGGCGCGGCTGTGCGGGCTGAAGCGCGGCCTGCGCAAGACTAAGGACGAGCTGTTCCAGGAGTTCTGCAAGCGAGCTAGCATGCGCGCCAAGCCAAAGAATATATACTATATACCCAGCGAAGATCCTGACGATGCACCCCCGCTCCAACAGCCACAGCCCCCACGGCGTGGCTACGAAGAGGCCCAAAGGAGCCAACATGATGAAGATGACACCGACGGCGATGATCATGGATTTCGACAGTTTCGCTCTGGCCCCACCTTGGACGAAGAACATCTCTATATAGTCGGCGGTAAATTAACAAGATATCTTATCTAAAATAATCTATATATCATTAGAGCCATAATGAACTAAATGATAACAAATAACTCGGAAAGCTTCATTAGTAGATCAGGGCTATTATTATTTGCCTATATCCCTGTAACCGTGGGCAAGGGCAGGCCCAGGGTGTTCATTTAGAAGACTACTTTTCAATATGTAGTATTTGCTAGTACCACACAGAATTGGTTGAGTGAGTCAGTTCTAGGCAAATATGTATGTATATGTATCCAATAAAAGAACGAAATTAAGAGGCTAGGTGGAATAACCTGAAAAGCCTCTCGACTATAACTAAGAATTATGACACGAAGTCACTGTCGAAAACTTATAGCTCATTAGAGTTAGTATGCGATGCTTTCGCCAGCCAATGCCAAAGAACGTCACCGGGATGAGAAAATACATACATATGTAGTCTTTAAGTGTAAGGGGTTGAGTGAATCCGCACCTAAGGTTGGATGGACTACTATTAGTTTCTATAAGGTATTGCTTGTAATGTCTGTTAATTTTATATGCAGATCACGCTCAGCTAGTGATGCCTCGGCGAGTGTCCATGTGTGTGGAGCCTTTGCTGCCGCCGTTGATGCCGACGCAGCAGTTGCGCAAACTGAACTCGAATATGTCGCTGCACATGCCGCAAACAGAGGTGTGGCCCTGGATGACACAGCCACGTCTCGCATCGGAGCATGGTCAGAGTCGGACGCTGCCACGCTGCTTCCTGCGCCAGACAGCTGGCAGTCAGGACAGCCTGGGCTCCCTGCAGAGCAGTTACAGCGCCAGCCAGCTGCGCTTCTCGCAGCTGATGCAGCAGCACCAGCAGCAACTGCATCAGCAGAATCGTTATCTGTCCACGCTGACGCTGCCCCGGCCCGTTGATGAGGCTCAGATCAATCCGCAGTCACAACAGCAGCAGCAGCAGGCGCAGCCACAGCCGCAAGCACAACCGCAGCCGCAGTCGGCAGTGCAGTGGCCCTCGGCTATACCGTCCTCACCATCCAATTATGCCAACGGCTATCCAATGCCTCAGCCACTTTACGCTCCGGCTATTGCTGTACCGCTTTCCAGCAGCATCGCCGGACCGCATCCGCCCAAGTTTCAGCGCGCCTACGCCTTCGACGATGCCCAGCGCCGGGCCAGCCAGGCCAGCTGTGCCGCTTCGGAAGCCTTCGATCTGGACGAGATGGAGCGCGAGCGCAGACACTCCCATGCCACCCTCTTCGGTGGAACAGGCATGCCGCAGAAGCGGGAGCAATACGACATCATCAATGGCACTGCGGTTTAGACCGATTTCTATGTGGTCCCAGTCACGGCCAAACCTTCTAAATCAATTTTGTTGTGTCTAAATCTCAATGTTGACTGTTAAATGAAAAGTTGAGTAACATGAATAGCTCTTAAGCATGGTTTCCCCAATTGCACTAGATGACATAGAAACGATTGCAAGACATACATATGTACATATGAATCTGTCTTTCAAGCACTTCATGAATAATAATTACACGAGTAGACTAATAACTAACAAGTAAACAAGTAAGAAAGGTCTAACAAAAATCGAAATTGTATAAAATTCATTTTATTTTGGAGACTCTAGCTTTAAAGATGTAGGAGATACAATTTTAAAATTGATTTTCGATAAGATTTTCTTTTCTCGACAACAAACGGGACAAGCTATCGATTTTTAGTGATAGGCTCGATATGCGCGCATTTTGAAAAATTGAAGTCTCTAGCTCTTATATCTTCTAAAATCGACGCGTTCAAACCTACGGACAGACGGACGGACAGGGCCGAAATGGCTCAGCTCGTCGCCCTGATCAAGAATATATACTTCATGTAGTCTGCCACGCCTCCTTCTACCTGTTACATATATTTCAGCAAAACCATTATACCCTGATTTCCCATTTTCAATGGGTTCAGGGTATAAAAATAA